AATTTACGGCGCCAATAAATTCTGCCGTATATGCGTGTTTTAAATTTGTACCTGGTAACAAATGCTTCAGTTTTTACTAGTCTGTTTTATTTTTTGTCATAAAATGCTGTAAGAATTTTGTAGGAAAAAATTGTTTTTCCGCACCGTTACCTATGAAGGCCTGAGGAAAATTTGCATCATATGCTACTATGAACGTGATGTAAAGTGGGCCTATTTAAATGTTAGTCAGTTCAGAAATATACTTGTTTTTTAAAAATTTTTTTCTGATAGTGTTTTATTAGGAAACGGAACGGACAGAATGTGTTTTCAAAAAGGGCCATAAACATGTCAAGTTTTTTTGCCTTCGCAAGCCTGTAACTGTTTGTGTGATTAATCCACTCTTGCGCTGAATAATCCATTATAAATAGGAAGGCACGTTCTCTTATTTTTATTCCACTTGATTTGCCCATCTTCAGGTATAGTAAAAAAAATTCCAAAAGTCCGAAATTACATTGTTATATGACATTGGCAATAGTTAATATACACAGCAGTTCGATAGCGAATTATCTATTTAAACCAATTTTTAAGGAGTTCACCTATTACGGGAATTTTTTTTATATTATCGGAGCAATAGCTATATCTGGGTTATCTTGCGGATGTTGTTTCTTCACGACAAGGTGGTTTGCTGCTTTGAGGCATTTCTAAATATGATCCGCAGGACCATCTTCATATGAAATAACGTCCAAATAATTGTTTAAATGTTTGATGTAAGCGTCAAACAAAAGCGCAATTTATCAATTCATCAATGAAGACACTAACAATGAGTGAAACGATAGCCAATAAATAGTTACCCACTAATGTTAATATGTACAATATAGTTTGACTAAGGAAAAGTTCGCTTTATATATCTAAATTGGTTACATTCCGTTATCAACTTACGAAGACATTTTCATTTATGTTTCTAATTTAAAGCTATTTTTTACGTCTCCGAAACTGTACCATTATCAAGAAATTTTATTTTTCTTAACAAACACTTAGTACTTCTTCTAGTTCTTTTCTGTACTTAATTTGCCGAATGCTGCTCATTATTATTCGTAAGTTTCCGTAAATGTGTTCACGCCGGTATGCGAGTAATGATCAATATTTTACAAATTTAGGCATGGTGCATGCAGCACTCGCCATACTGTATGTCTGCATATATTTGCGTCAGGTACGAAGTCTGTCGTTCGTAAAGACGTCTACTTCGCCTAAAAATGTATTTGCACTTACAGGAATATTCATGGCGTTAAATTATTTATTCGAGCAATAGTGATAACCATTTTATATTTCGAGTTGATCCAATTGTGAAAAACTCGAGGCGTTCGGCGGGACTTGAACCCGCGTATCAGGGAAGGCTTTTACCGGAAGCCAATGTTATAACCTCTAAGCTACAAAGGTCTCGCCTCGTGCCATGAATTTAATCACACTTGGGTCGATATTACCCTCCCAAATTTGCCGCTCGTATGGAATCCACCAATATGGGACAGCATGTTGACTGCTCTAGAAGGATTTCCTAAACAATCATCTAGAATCCACCAGAAGGATCAGCTAATATTGACCCAAGTGTGATTAACTTCATGGCGCGAGGCGAGGCGTATGTAGCTTTGCATTTAAGAGATTATTTTGGCAGTAAATTTTTTTGGATAGTATCCTCTATGCAAGTCAACGCGCACCACTGTTCTGGTAAATACCGTTATGCACATAGTTTTCGGAGCTTGGTTTTATCCTTTCAAGAAAATGAAGAAAGGCAGAATTTCCTGTGGCCGGCACGCAATAACGACCGCCTAGAAGAAGATGCAAAAAAATGAAAGACTTAAATTTGTAACGTTGTCTTCTAGTGGCCCTTAGCCGCCCTTGGCCGCCCCTTGGAACCCAAGATCAGCAGCTGACGGATGGCGCCTGAGGCCTCCACATCCACTGCCGCCAGGGGTCAGGTGTTAACTGTCCTTGACAGACGCCTCGCCGTGGCCGCGCATGCACGTCAGCCTTCGCCCATCTGAAGGTCAGAACAGGAAAAGCTAGTCTAGACATTCGCCGCGTGATTGGCTTCCGTAACAAAGCATGCACTGACATTCCGACGCTCCCGACGCTCTCGTCACTTCGGACACGGCATGCCGCTCGGCTAGTCGTGCTCTCCGAGGTCAAAACTCTTTCCATCTATTCTCCATTCCTCTGTGTACACAATAAGCTGTGCCTGCTATCCTGGTCCCCATTCACTTCTTCTCTTCTTAGTAACCATGGTCCGAAGATCGCACTCGCTAGGGTTTAATTCAAGCAACTCCCTGCGATAGTCTTCTTCCAGAGAAAATCGAAGGTAATATCACCCAAATGTCTCAGAGGGGAATTCTGCGGACGCAGATTTCCCTCCATTGTATTGCAATGGTTAATTAAATGTACAAATAAGCTCACTAGCCCCCTGTTACTGCATATAATGAAGGTTTTACTTATCGATAATTACAGAATACACAGTTTGTTTCTATTCGCCTAGCTCAGTACACACGTATGTATCGTAATCTTTATTTCACAGTCAGAAGATCACTACGTGAATCATAATTCCGTACTGACGGCCATCATACAGTCGACATTGAATGATGGGGTCGCTTTGGTTGTATTTTACAACATAAACAAAAGACTTGGATCACCGAAACACGTAAATATTAGCCTGAGCAGCATGGATGTGATCTTGGTTCAACGATTGAGGTCTCGCTGCATTTTTTTCACGTGTTTGGAGCTATCTCGATGCACTAAAAACCAGGGCACTTACGGTTGTTATCAGCGGGGATAAACCGAACGGCAGGGTC